TCAAGCAAAGTCTGTAAGTTGCTGCAGTAACATTTCAAACAAGATCTGTTGCCAGGACTATTGGCAGACTTTAGGGCACTGAGGAGACAAACCAGCAAGGAAAGACAATAATAGATGATCTCAGTCAATCCCAGAGGCAGAAGCTAATAAGATGAATCTTGCAAAAACTGTCATGATACCAAATTAAATGAATAGTACTTTGTAGCAGCCTCATGCCAGACACTGGTATGCATTCACCTGGCTGAAAAGTGAGTGTCCATCAAAAAGCTAATTATCATCAGAGCTGCTTTAAAACAACACATAGTGGAGCTGACCAGGAAGCTGGGGAAGCTATGAACTTGTGTGTACCTGTACAGCATCAGCATGACCTCATTTTTTCTCAGGTGGCTGAAAGAGTGGCAGATACCTTTATCAAAAAGCAATGTCTGCCATATGTTGAGACATATGAGGGCCTTATTTGCTCTGTAATCAATTCGGAAAGTGTTTTATGCAGTCAGACTGAAATGACAGCTTCCTTCAGCATTCTCTGAGATTTTTCCTAGGCTGAAGAAAGCAAACTGCTTCTTCCCCGTGGTCTTACTGACAAATATCTAGGCAGCCTGGGGAATTGAACTGATGAAACTCTCATTTTTCTGTTTCTTTTTTTTTTCATAACTTATTCTCACCCATGGCTACTCAGACAAGAAGTATTTTAGAAATATGTCAGATTTGCAAAACAGTAAGATAAATTGCTGAGAGATATCTATCACTTCTACATTTTCTTAATGATATGAACGCTAGGCAGTATAAACAGAGAAAAATATATAGGAAATTGTGAACCTTTAAGAATCTGTATGAATGTGTGGGATGTGTTTGATACACCATAAACTTTATTTTTGTATTGGTGTTTCTGCACTTTTGCATAACAAAGCAGACAGTGCCAGCTGCCTGGGGAATGGTGGAGTTTGTGTCATTTGGAGTCTCTCACTTAGGCTGGGTGCCTTTCTACATGGTCTGCTGGAGTTTTGGCTGGAGTGGTGGATTTCTGTGTTATGCTAGGGGTTAAGTGTTCATAGCCCCATTGTCCCTTCTGACCGAAAGCCCATGATTCTTTGAATTTACTTTTTGAAACTCACTCTTTCAGCCAGCCTTTTCTTTCTGGTGTTGGACCTTCAGACAACTGCTGACCTGATATAGCTGTACAATTCCTAGTACGAAAATAGTTTGTCCTGCATCCTGCTGTCAGGAAAACTGCTGGACCCCCATGTGATATTCTGAGAAGCCCCAATAATATGTTATTGTATCCTGGTCTGTTTTCACCATTCTATGCCCATGTCATGAATATATATACATATACATTGTTCGCATTCTCTGCTTTCCATGCAGAGCAATACTTTTCTTAAAGGTACCTTTATTCCCCATTGCTTCTACTTTTTCTTATCCTTCCTTGTGATTTGGTAGCCACTCTGTAGTCTGTTGTCTGAAGGAGGAATAAAGTTTAATCTTGAGCTAGTTTGTGCCTGAATTGACATCATTTGCAGATGTGCTGATTTTACTGCTTAAGATGTAAATAAGGATAGAACTAGGCTCTATACAAATTTTGGGTGTGAGCCCAAGATCCATGCTGTTGTGTTTTGTCATGTGCAAATCTGTTTGTGTTTAAATGTTGTGTCCCAGTGACTTTAGGAAGTTGGCTGGCCATCCACTGGCAGCGTGGAGCAAATCCATGACCACTCTCTGCTTTCTGAGATCCTTTTTGCCTCTCCAGCTCCGTGAGAGCTGAAAAAGGAAGGGGTAGCCTGTTTGACTCTGTGGTGAGTACAGGTCAGGCAGAAGGTCTTTGTCTCTTCCCAGTCGTTTGATTTGGCTCCTGAAGTAATGTCTCCAGCTCTCAAGAAGCTAGCTTTTTTGGCCAGAACAGGAACATGTTGATGTAGAATGCCTGCTTGTTTGGCCGGAGCAGGTCCCCAGGTCTGCACTCTCTCTGTTTTAGGTGCAGGGGATAACACTTTTTTTACCCCGATATGCATTTGAGACACACCAGAGACAGGCACAGTGGGTAATTGCTTTGAGTGTCAGATTGGAAGAGGAGGGAAACAGTGTAAAAGTACTGAGGTAGAATAAAGGAAGGTGGCAAGCACACAAAAAATGAACATAGTAATTCGAGTTCATGCCTGTTGTTTGATACTGATGTGTATCTTTGACCTCTTTCACCTCTCTCTGTTCCTGTGTCCCCACCAATAAAGGGGGCTGTAGAGCTGAGAAAGCTGGTTTTGATGCAAAGCTTTTTGGCATTGCTGAGCTGAAGGAAGGTAATAGCTGAGGATCTGAATGAAGCTAACTGTATCAATTTACTCGTCTCTATATTACAGTCAAACCTTGATGTCAGTGAGAATCAAATCCAGTGGGTTTGGGTTATGTAGGTTTTGCATGTACTGCAATGTCAGTAGAGCAAAATGAAAAAAAAAAAAGAAAGAAAAAAAAGCAGAGGCTAGTAAATAGTCCATTTTAGAGAAAAAATAGTTTCTTGTTTTTTATGTCATTTCCCTGCCCTATCCAGGACCAGGAAAGCTCTTTCCCCAGAGTACTTTCTGTTCAGAGGCTCTCTCCTAGATGGTGCTTCCTAGATGGTAAGTGCATCTCCCTTCTCTTGTGCTTAGCATGCTGCTTGCTTCTGGTGTGCATGTGAAGGACAGTTCATCTGAGAGTATTACAGAGGTGTTACTGTTCCTTTTTGTTACAATGAGTAGGTAAAAAAGGAGCTGAGTACCCCCCCTTTCCTCTCTGAAAAAGGAAACAGGTCCTTCATCCAGCAATCAAAATATCTGCTGTGGCTTTGCACCTCAAGGAGACATTTTCTTCTAAGAGTAGTTAGAGGTTGGTTTTATTAGTGCCTCTGCTGTGATGAGCAGCACTTATTGCATGGCATTGCCTGGATTCAGAGTGCAGCTGGTTGTGACAATGCGCTGCTGCTGGTAAGGCTGCGTTCTTCACTCTGATTTCTCTTCAAGTACCATAGTGGTTAGGTACTATAGTGTGTAGGTGATAGAAACATGCCTCCCTTTCCCTGTAAGACTGCACTTCACTTAACTTCCTGGAGCGCTGCACTTGTATTTGACCCAGACTTTGTCAAAGCAGACGGCTGATCTGGGCTTTACATCAGGCTCCAGAGCACTGAAATTACCAGCTGAAATGGATGGCATCTGTTTTTGCGAAAGCTTCAGCATGGGAAGGCTGAAATTTTTTGTTCTAAACAAAAACAATTTCTCCTTGGCAATTTCTAATCACTCTTCCTTGTGTCTCATGAGGAAAATTGATAAAAACCATATTGAGACTCCATTTGGTTTTTGGAGAAAGCTGGGTGGGTAGATGCATTCAGTTTTTGTCTTTAGGGATTTAATATTCTCTTGCAGAGCCAAAACCTCCAATGCTGTATCACTGTGCTCTTGTGTCAGAACTCCAGAATGAACGAATCTGATTTCACTGGCAAAACTAAATGCAAAGCAGAAGCAAAAAAATCATATCTAATGAAGTACATTGTAGATGATAAAGTATTTCTTGATTTAGTAATATAAATTATTTGGCAGTGACAAGATTCATATTAGATGCTTTATTTAGTGAATCTCCCCTATTTTCATCTGCTTTTCATGAGTAGCATATATTTTCCTTAAGTGTATTGGTAATTCAGGGTGAATATCTGTGGCATGCATTTGATGTACAAAGAGCTCCCAAGCATGTTATTGTTCTTTAGATTTGAAATTTGAATTAATCCTATTAGACCCATCAGTTTCATTATATGCTTGCTATACTCTCATCGGAACAATGCAGCTTTTTCTGTCACATATGTTAATGTAATCAATTTGTCTTATAAGCCTGAAATCCATTTTATACATTTTTAAATATTTATTTCAAGTTAATAATTTCAGTTAATATTGTTTTGTTAAGCCTCACCTTTAAATTCACTATTTAATGAGATAGGAATATGGACATAATGAATAAATCAGATGATGTTTTTGTGAAACCACTGTGACTTCACTGACACAGAGGTTGTCTTGCGTGTTAGTGATGTTAGCTCAGCCCATCTTGTCCATGCAGTTCTGCTCAGACCATTTTCTTCACTGTGGCTCTGTTTGTTTTGCAGCAACTTCTGCTGATCGTTTTTACCGCATTGACAGATCTCAGGTAAATCATGATTCAGTTACCGTTTCTGTAGATTTTTTTTTTAAAGCTATTTCAAATGCAGCTTAAAATGAATTATCTGCCATTCCTCCTGTGTATTCCAAAATGATACTGATATCTTATTAAAAGTAGAGAAAAATTCTGGGCCATTTTTAAGCTGATGTAATTCACACTGTTTCACTGAAGTTTTATATCTGCTGACCATCTCCCCTTCTGTTTACTATCAATCTGATGCACAGAATTTTCTACAGTTGTTGTCCTTATCGAGTCTTACTAAGGGCATCTGTGTGGCACCAGAGTACTTGAATTTACCTTTTCACTGATGCTTTTAGTCACCAGAAGTCTTGACTCTGTGTGTGTGACTTAGAATAGCTATGGAAATTAAGGTGATGTTACAAGCTGAGAATTATGAACAGAGCTATATCAAATATTCCCAAGAAACCCCAAAACAGTGTGTAGCTCTATTGCACTCAAACCTGTGGTATAGATTACATAATCCTTTTTTTGTTTTCTAAAAGACACTTTGAAAATTTTACAAAGCTTTTGGTGTTTCTGATTTGTAGCCAGAACAGGACAATTAATGGCTCAGCATTAAGTGCAAAGTGTTGATTTCACACAGTGGTCATTTGTATCTGGTCCCCCTGAGAACTGTGTTTGCTGCTTCTGAATCACATGAACATATGACTGCTTCCTAGCAAAAGCAGCTGGTGCTTTAGTTGAAGCAGAAGGAGCTAGGGCTTTAGTTCAGAGGTCCCAGGTTCAGAGTCTGTGTGTAGCCACCATGGGACTTCTTTGCACACACTCATATAAATGCTTTGATGAAGCTGTACTTTTGGCATTTGGAAAGCAAGGGTGAAGAAGATGCTGCTATAGGTTGAACTGGGCAATGTGACTCTGTTTGGCTTATTCTGCATTTCTTTAACACTTGACTCTGTACAAATTGTCATCTTGTCCTCCTACTCCTTTGCCCTGTATTTCTGTGGGGAAGAGATCAATAGTGTGTGAAGGTGCCAGTGCACAAACGGTGGGAATTTTCCTGTCCATTCACTTACATAGACAGGCCTACTCACACTCGGTGTTTTTTGAAGGACAATGAGCCTTCAGTGTCAATGACGAAAAAGAGAAACTAAGAAAGAAAGCTTTGGTAACAGATGTGAAACCAGAATGGGCAAGCAACGGAGCTCTGGGAGAATACACCCAAGCAACGGAAATTTCTGCCAGCTGTCATCAGAGGGCAGACCTTAGGTGCTGGTCCTCATTTTGAAATGCAAACCTCAGCTTTTTAAGTAGACCTCCAGTTTTCAGCTGAATGACACAAAGTCAATGAGTAGCAGCCTTTTTGGTGTTGGTGTGAGCATGAAACTTGCTGGTTGAGACTCTTGTTTGGCTTTAAATCAACTAAGTATTTATTGGTGACTTCAGTGGCATTGGTTTCTCTCTGTGTGTATGTGTGTGTGCTTAAATAAATACACAGACAGAGTCCTATGAATGCTCTCCAAAGATCCTGATGTGCACCCAGCTTCCCTATAGCCAGCTGGATGCTCTGAGAGACCAGTGATGCTGTAGGTTCATTATTTGTCCCTTGTATCACTCCAACAGGAACATTTGCACTTTGTGACAGAAATTTCGCAGGACGAGATTTTTATTCTGGACCCAGAGCTGGTAATGTCACAGCAGGTGGGGACGCCACCAGGAAAGTGGAGCAGGCCTCTGGGTGAGTGGTGCTGGGATCTGGCTTTTAGCAGCCATATTAGAGTTGGGCATCAATTTTTCTAGTCCCCTTTTCTGAAGGACTGGGAGATGCGGGAGGGGAGATCTTAGGTAGGAAGCTGTGAACAGGATCTGATGCAGCCATAGTGGAATAACATCTACTCCTTTAGGCATCCTGGAGCACACAGCAGGACTAATGGACTTCAGCACTTTTCACCGCCTCACACCTCTCGACTGTGTCTGCCCTGCCATAAATCTCTATCAGTCGAGTTACAAGCCCCTTCTCTGCATGATTAGGGCTCTGATACCATGTATAAGGAACTGAAGCCCTTTGTGCCTAAGGATGATGGTGAAGTGTCTCTGTTTCTTCTCATCCTGTGGACAGACCAGAAATGCTCCTGTTCATCTTTAGGAACAGTCTCATACTTATAGTGAATTAAGCTATTTTAGCTTGCTGTGGGCTAAAAATTGCTGGGAACCAGTAAGCATAAGACAGCTTCAAATTGGAGCATGTGAGGTAATTTCTGATGGGATGAATGCCTTTCTTTTCCTTTTTTCCTCCCTAGAATATCAGATCGGTGGAACCCTGCAGTGCGAAAGAGGATGCTGAGTGACAGCGGCCTCGGCAAGATTTCCCCGCACTACGAGGTACCTGACAAACCAAAGGACGCCAGCCAGACACATATGCTGCAGTAAGAGCCCTCTGCATTTCTCTGCTTGATGATGCACTGTCACCATCACCACAAACCACTCCTAGTGGCTCCTTTAAGCTTAATGAATTGTGCTGACATGCTGAAATTATAGAAGTCCTTTTGCTCCTCCTTTCTGTTTCTTTCTCTTTCTCCATTATTATATGTTCTTGCCTTTGTTTGTTGTTTGTTTTTTTGTTTGTTTGTTTTTTTCTCAGTGGCACCCTGCACTCTTAATAAACTTAGATATGAGTTTCTAATACTAATTACATTAATTTGGATTCCTGAAGTTCCAGCTGAGGGAACCTTCATGACCACTGGTTATGAGAAAGGCTGAAGCACTCACCCTTAATGTAGCTCTGATGCAATGTGACAAAGCAGAAACCTCTACAATTGCTGCTTACTTTCAAAGATGTAGGCAATAGTTTCCATATAATCTTGAAACAGAGATACCATCGGTGGTACAGAATGACTAAACAGTGGTTTTGTTGCTGATAATTCCCTCATGTAAGAGATTTCTACCATCACAATCCTGTTTGGTGTGTTCAGATTTGTGTAAGAACATCTCATATTCCTCTTGCATATTTTAGAAGTGATTCTCAGCTTTTTATCCTTTCACTTTAGATTTTTAAAACCAGCAGTAGATCCATAATCGCTACCAAAGTTTAAATGAGAAGCACCTGTCTGAACTCTGTTGCCTGGCTTTGAAAAATTCTGGTGTTTTGGGGGTTGTTCCCCCCCTCCCAAGTACATCAGGTTGTAATTGTGTACATTACTTCTGCTTTATGTTTCTAGTTCTACTGTAACTGGATCCCTATGGACAGATTTTAAAACTTAGTATAGAAAAATTATAAATAGTGGCCATGTGGTCGTTGTTTCAGTTTGTCTTTGTCTTGGGAGTGAGTGGAAGGGGGCCTGCAATGTGCCTGCTGAGTACAGGCTACAAACGGGAAACTTCTCAGCAAACTGGAAACTCCTGGCAGGAGAGAGATGTCATGGTAAGAAAGGGTGATCTGGGTATTAGTGCCAGGAGACACTCACCTGGTTTTCTCCTATAACTCTGAGGGATTTTGGATCAGTTCTTGTTTTTATGCTCTTTGCATAGCAAAGCTGGCAAAAAAATGATGCTTAGATACTTTCAGCAAGTGTGGAGAGATGGTGACAATGTGTGGACTAACTTCTAGCTGATAAGAGAAGTGCTTGTGTTTACATCAGTGTGACTGGAAATGTTTGCTTATCTGGAACGATTATATTTGGTGGATTTATTAATTACAAGCAAAGTCAGTAGTACTGCCTGGAGTAAAGTATACCTGTCACTGCCTACTGTAAGAAATTGTTTTCTTTATAGCTCCTCTAAACTTTAATTGTTTTGGCTGAAATTTTTCATCATAAAACTCAGTCTCTGATTCTTTTTCTTCTAGTTAAAACTTCAACAAAAAAGTCAGTTATTTCTGAAGACAAAATTTGTGGAAAATGTGCTGCTTTAAATTACATTCTTTAAAGTAAATAAATCCAGCGATTGTTTCCTGAGATGTTGTACTACTGGTAGCGGAATGAACAGATGTCTGGGAAATTGGAATGGGAATAACAAAAAGGAGGAGGACATAGACAGGTTAGGGGCATGAGGGAAAGGATCTGTGACTGTTTGTCTCCAGAATCCGGAGTTCTTGGCTCATACAGATTATTGTCTATACCAGTGTGCAAGCTCTGAAGTATGTTTAGACCCTGTCTTGTTTGCTGCCAAGCTGGAAGGTGTATAGTAATTGAGGTGGGGGATTGCAGCAGAGAAAGCAAGATATTATTACAGTTAAAGCACTTGAATGCTGCCCTGGAGGACTGGCTTCTCTCCTCAATTTTCCTGACAGAATTTCTGAGTGATGCAGATTTACAACAAACTTTTCATGAGTGGCCAGTAACAACAGGCTCCTCATTCTGTGCGTCTCTACTCTGAAGTGGGGTGGGTTCCTGGGAGACCAGTACAAGGAAACTTTGAAAGAGAGTAAAGTGCTGGAAACTGACAAATAGGCATTTTGTGTGCCTCATGTTGTATTACTAAAATTAATAGAAAGTTTGTGCCTGCCTTCCTTCTGACTCTCATTTTCCCAGCTGCAGAATACAGATAATATTGCAACCTCACTTTAGAGGAGCACAGTGAGGGTAAATTTCATAGCCACAAGAAACCTGGATACTATGGGCAGACTCTATCAGAGATGCTTAGGAGGAAGCAAATAATTTTACATTCTGTGCACAGCTTTGGTAGTGTGGATTAAATAAATCTTAAGACTGTGCACTGCATATACAAAATACAAAAAGATATCATCAAGTCTATACTTAAACAGTGAAGCAAGAGTCCAGTAGAAGAAAGTAGTGGGTTGCAATGTGATTAAAGATTGTCAAAATGCTTGAATGCAACAGGGCTGAAGTATGATGTTCAGATGATAGGAGCTCTGGCATTTCCAAGCTTCTGGATGCTTGACTTTGCAACTGAAAAAATCTTTCTAACCTGGCATTTAAAAAAAACACTTAGAAAGCACTATTATATTTTGGCAATTGAAGTAGCTCGCAGGTTCTTTACAGAGGCTTGTTCCTTCAGAAATTATTTTTCAAATAAAACTTATGTAAAGGACTTAAGCAAAATTCCCAAAAAGGAATATGGCAGAATACAGAGGGGGGACAATTCCTCCTGTACTTGGAGTTCTCTCTCTCTCTCCCTCTCTCGTCATCAGTGTTTTACATCTTACATCTAGTCCAAAATACTGTACAGCACTTCCAGCTCAAAATGCAATATCCTATAGCCTGTCACTAAGGCAAGTGACAGGGGATCTGCTGTGAGAGAAAGTGTTATCAATTGACCCACTGGGGCTGTTTTCTCAGTGGTCATTTTTCTCCCAAACAGGGGTTGGGAGTAGCCCTCCTCAGATGTTAGGAGCAGATTAGACCACAGCTGATCATACTATGGCTGCAGGCTGCTTAAAGTGTGTCTGGTATCACTGCATATACATATCTATATATATATATATACACACACATATGTGTGTGTGTGTGTATATGTATATATAAAACCTCTCTAAGATGAAGTAGTTGATTCTGACAAGTAAGAAGTATAGCTAAATAGACAAAGTATGCAAATAGAGAGATCCTTTAAATTACTTCAGTCAATGAAAGCAAAGAAGAGAATATGTGGTCTAAAAATAGTTATGATGTTTGGTGTTGCTTTTGATCACAAGCGGTTGGAGTAAAGGGTAAATTGAGTGTAATGGTTTTGAGGCCAGGGTCTTTCTGAGAAAAAAATTATTTATGCTTCTGTTTTTAATTAAGTGAGCTTCATTTTAGTTAATTTTCAGGTATTTTTTGATTAATGGTATTTCACATTTTGCTCCCTTTCTGATGGATCTTTGATGTGTGACTGATACTGTGGAGAGGGCAGGACATGAGAGAGCATCTTGATGCAGCAGCCAGAAGCTGGGACAGATCATAGCTTAATAGGAACATCAAATTAGCGTGAACATTGCATACAAAAAACCAACGGGAAGACCATTACTTAGACTACTGGTGCTTGATCTTGAAAAAAGCTAAGTATTTGGGCTGACTCCACTGAAACATGTAATTGGACTCTTCCTTTGAACATGAGTGGGTTCATCATCCTGATTTATCCTATGATCAAATGGTACAGTGAGATGGGGATGACCATTCCCTCATAGCCTGCTGTAAGCAGTCGTTGTTGGCCATGTATTTCTCTTCCTAGTTACGTGTTTGACACCCTGTTATGTGATGAGAGGTGGAAAATTAAATAAAATAAAAACCACAACAGCATACAAAAGTGAAAAGGTGACTATACCTTGGTGGAGATTTGAGCTACATCTTTTAATTGAGGTCATTAATTTTCCCATTGTTTGGGGCTGTAGCAGCCCCTCTTCTAGCATCTGCTCAGCTGTGATGGAAATGCATTTCCAAAACTGCTAGCTGCACTGTCTGGATTGAGCGCATGGCTTGTGAAGGGTGGGTGAAGGTTGGCCAGAATGCCATCTGGTCCTGTCAAGGAGAGGAATTAAAAATGCCTGGAGGGGGTGGAAGGTGGCTGCAGACCACTACACTAAATAGACATTAATTGGCTAGTAATACCACCCAGGCACTGCTTTATGAGACAATAATAACCTAGTTCCTGAGAAGGAAGGAGAAAAAAGGCTAAATGCCAAGTGTTTTAACTCAGCCACAAGAATCAGATCATTGCACAGGAAATCACTGTGACAGTACAGATGTTACAAGGTGGTTTAGGTTTTTTTTTTAAGAGAAATCTTTGTGTGGTACAAGGTGAGAAGAGCATCAGGGTTGCAAGTTTGTGCATAGAAAGGAATGCTAATCTAGTGAAATTTAACAAAATATAAAGAAGTCACTCAGGATTTGAACACGCTAGGCAGAAGCTGCCTAGTCATAGTGAACTTTTGAAATTTTGAAGGTTGGTGATCACTTGAAAAGTTCACGTTTCACCAACACTCTTGCATCGGAAACACAGCATGTTTTGATAACAAAGCCTGAATTAGTTTTCTGATTCAGATTTAGTTCAAGCTGCATTTATAAGATTAAGCCACAAGAGTGAAGTGCATATGTTTTAATCAGCTATTTGTACACCTGTACAAATTACTTTCCATTGTTTAAAATCCCAGATGAGGCTCCATTGCATTCAAACAAATCTCATTTGAGTGAAGGCATAAATCACCATCTCACCTTTCACTGTATGCTCCTGTAATAGAAATAAAGCCTAACAAAGTGCAGTCTATTTATGTTTAACTCTCCCTTTTCTTTCTCTTCTGTTATCTTAGATGCTTCTACAAGTAGTTTGCCAGGTGCCACTCTTACTACCTTAAAGTGGAGGAGGAGAAAGGTTTGCCTAAAGCAGCCTTCCACCTCTTGCTAGGAAAGTGGTATTAAAAGGAGGGAATGTTAGTGAAAGGAAAGATATGAACTCAAAAGAGCGCAAAAGTGATGTAAAGAGAACTGAGAAT